TTTATGATTCATGCAACATGGCCACTTAGCCCTCTCTATATGCTCTAATAAGTATGAGAACATTTTCCTATGATCAACACTTCATGTGTCCACCATCAAGAGCTCTACTCCATTCTACTCCATAAAATGGAAATTTCTGATCAATATGGTCAAAACTAAGCTCTTGGCACAGTAATACTAGTACCACTTTAGTCAGCATTAAGTCCGGTAAAATTCCATTGCAGAACTATCTGAAGAGTTACTTCTCCTTTTTTCTAACAGATTGTGGACTATATTCCAAAATTTCAAAAAACATAGTTTATAAAAGTACTTTGTTTTCATTTAAACCCCTAGCATTTTCCATGGGTTGCTTATCCTGAGTTTCTCTTTCCTCCTTTACTAGACTCAAACAATATTATAACGAGCTCTTTTTTAAGAAATAAAACAGGCTTGTTCTTTTGTTTGTTATCCTTCCTTCCTTCATCCCTACCCACCTATCTTCCTTTCTTACTTAAAGGAAGGTTTTCTGTGTACACACTGTAGGCCTGGAACTCACTATGCAAATCAGGCTTTTGTTAGGATTAAAAGTGTCTAGAACCACACTCAATCAACTACAGTTTTTCTTACATACCTCTATTTTGTTTTGCTATTATTTTTGTAATACTGTGGTGGCCCTTTATCATTTTCATTGAATACTAAAACCACTCATCACTTACTAAATCACTTGATTATTCACTTATTAAGATATTTCTATAACTAGAGGGATTAAAAAATTAAAATGACAGAAAGTTAGGTGGTCAAGAAAGGAAGGGTGGATCTGGGAGGACTTATTTAAAAGATGAATGTGAAAAAATACATCATATTAAATTCTCAAAGAAGCAATAAAACTAATAACAAATACAACTGATTGAAAATCAAAACTAGGTTAAGTACTGAGCTGAACTCAAGAAAGCCAGTAACAGAGAGGGAGGATTGATGATCAAAGGGATTAAGACTGGGCTGTTTAACCCCCAGAAACAGCTGACCAGACAAAGGTTAACTCTTGAATCCCAGGCATCAGCCTGGGAATCCAGCATGGGACTGATCAAGACCCCCTGAATCTGGGTGTCAGTGAGGAGGCCTAGGTAATCTATTGAGCCTTGGGCAGCAGATCAGTACCCATCCCAAGTATACACACGGACTTTGGACTCCCATAGAACAATGTGAGGTGCACTCTCACCCTGAACTCTTGGGGAAGGGTCTAGGCCCTGCCCTATATGAAATGACAGACTATGGACACCCCCATGGAGGGCCTCACCCTCCCTGGGGGAATGAGGGGATAACGGGGGGGGGTGGGGGGAGGGCGCGGGAGGAGGGGAGGGAAAGGGAGAGGGACCTGGAACTGACTTGTGAAGCAACCTTGTTTTTTATCTAAATTTAAACTGGAAAATAAAATAAAAAATAAATAAATTAAAAAAAATATATATATAAAGGAACCCTGGTTGATTTGTTATTGTTACTTTATGTGATAGAAAAGAATATGTTTTAGGCTTTACCTTTCTGAACAAAATAATTATAATATTTTATAGTTAGAAAGAACCAGTTGTCTGTGTTGTTGTATATATATATATATATATTTCTAACACTAGGCAGGATCACAAACTTCACCTATGGAGATGTGGCATGTACTTCTGTGATAGTCCGCCTTGCATATCATACATAAGACTGATTAAATCAGTTCTACAAAGACACAACAGCAATATCAAAGTGAGTTGTTTTTACTGGAAATCTACAATAAAATAAAAAAGCAGGGTCAGAGGGATGGAAAAAGAAGAAGGGACAAGGAAATGAGGGGAAAGGATTCCAGGTATGGATAGGAGAGAAGAGGATAGTAAAATAAGGAAGTGGACAATATAGGAGAGGAGGAAAGGTAGTGAATAGAATAGAAATAAGCAAGGAAAAAAATCAAATAGGAATAATAAGTGACAGTGTATAATGCCCTCTTCTCCTCGTGTTCTGCTTCCCCCACCTCCCTTCTATCACCCGCCATTTGCTCCTTCTCAATTTCCATTCAGATGAGGTAAAGCCGCCCATGTAGGATATCATGGACTATTAATAGACATCTAGGTAGCTGGCATGGGACCAACCTAGGCCCGTTGCATCTGAGACGTAAGGAATTTTAAAGCAAGTATTTTCTTAATATGCTTTTGTAAAAAAAATAACAATTGAGAGAAACTCCATGCTTACTTACTAAATTGTTGTGATATTTCACACATTTGTGGAGAGTGGCAATATTAGTAGTCTGTACCTTCAAGTACTGCCTAGATATTTACATGTAAGATTGTTTCATAATAAACGATCTATTGTATAGCAACAGCTGAATATTTGATCCTAGAAAAATACTTGATTATTAATGTATGCACACCCTTTGGCCATTACTTGAGAGACCAGATTCAATCCTCATCACACACATATCAGAAATGATTACTTAAAATGAAATATAAATTTATATTTTGAATATTATAACTCAGGAGGCAATAGTATTATAAGTGCCTTATGCGATATAATTTGTTCCTTAAATTAATAGCAGGAGGGATATAAGCCAAGGTGATAAAATTGTACCTCTGTTTGTACAGGAGCTGCCATTGCTTTCCAATTAGTTTTGCTAATGAGAAACAAATACTTCTTTCTAAATTTTTATGGAATGACCTTATGTTAAAGTCTTAAGCAACCACTACACTCAATTAATGTACCATAAAACTCAACATTCCATTGTGAATTTTAGTCAAGTTTATATATTGTTAATAATTGAAATATCTCCTTTTTCCTCTGGTCACATAGAAACAAAAATAATATATTTTAGTATAACACACTTGAAAAGCATTGGATCTTGAATTGTGTTTATTGAACCTTGTAAAGATTCATAAAATCAAAACAAATATAAATGAGAATAGAAATAAGTAGCTATCTTAGTTAATATTCAAGATCAAACATCAAAAACTGATTCTGATTCTCAGACCTTGGTGCCTCTGGTGTTGTCAATTAGGATGGTTGTGAAGATGCCAAGGGCACTCCTCAGTAATGATTCTATTCAGTAAGCTACATATATCTGTTTCTCTTATGGAGAGCAGCCATGGTAACAAGCATAGTTAAAAATGAGTGAATGCTATGAAAGTTCATGAAACAATGTTGTATTTCAAGTTTTACACTCACGACCGCCAAACCACCTGAACAGACTAACATTCATTTGAATCTTAACACACACACACACATTGAGAGGAAGCAGTTCCAATTGAAATTATAGGGAAGAATTAGCAAGGCAAATGTTTCACTTACCTTCTTTGTTGTTTTACATAGGTATATAATGACACATTTGGTTTGAGAAGTGAGAAGTAGGTATGTGACAATTACATTCGTAAACTGAACAGTGCATGATATTAGAATTCCTGTCTAATTTAGGACATCATCTTAATAATGGTCTCATAATTTAGATTCATATCATTAAAATGAAGTTTACATGTGAAACAAGTCATTGAACCATTTTTAAGTCTCTAGAGAAAGATATATGAATTGTCTAGCTGTCCCGTATTTCCAGGTCTGCTCTAAATTTCTCAAACATAGGAAGCACCACTTTGATTAAAAAACAAAGAAGTTCTTGCTGCTAACGCAGAGCTTATATAGAATAGACCTGTCACCACTATTTTATGATGAGAAAAGGTCACATTTGCATTTCAATAAATCATACATCTGACATATGCAGAAAGAACTGAAAAAGCATATTTTATGCAATGAGCTATAATAAACAGGAAAATGAAGCTTTTAATATTTAATCAACAATCATAATATCAGCTTATTATTTTCTTGCATCCAAAACTATCTACAAAAATGGAGGAAATAAAATGTAAAATTACAAACATTATTTTTCTACATTTCCTACTACCACAGCAATTCATCTAAAAGCAGCATCATCAAAATTTCTATGGTAACTAATAGGCTCAGTTAAACTAACTTTTACTGAACCCACACACAAATCCTTTCCCAATTTCACGCCAAGCTTTATGTGCAGGAGGAGGTTCCCGAAAGCTGAAGACTGCCCACTTCCTTTACACGTGTCAGTTTCCACTATCCCATCAACAAGGAGCAGAGGCTATATTATTCCAAATCATGGTATCACAGCACTATGACTTTTTGAGACTCACCACAATCTTTGCCTTTGTCTCTTGAAGTCTCAAAGAGATCACACTCTAGCTAGAGCAACTAAACTCAATTCCTCCATTCTTCTTTATGCCTAAAAGCTATACCTTCAAAATTAAAATAATCCCAAGTGAAGTGGGAAAATGGCAATGCTAAATCATATCAATAGCCTAATAGACAGAACTTATCATCAACATGTATTCATTTGAGCATTATATGATTCCCCAACTCCAACTATATGTTCCCCAACTCCAACTATGAATAGACAATTGGACAATAATGTGCCTAATAGCATGTAAATAGTCTGGATTTCAACAATAATTGTGTCATCATCATGTTTCATTACCATTTTATTCTTTTTCTTGCAAAAATATTAGAGTAAATGACACATTCTCTTTTTAAATGACGCTATTTTTACTTTAAATCTTTGTAAGTAATCCAACAAAACAGCTGACATGGGGCCCTTGAAAGAAACCACTACAGACATAGCTAATAAGAAAATAATAGTATTAAGAAGTAAGGTAAAAAATCCATAATAATGTTCCATAAAACAATGATACTCTGTAAGAGAACATCAAAAATCACATTGTTTAATAGAATCTAAATGAAAATGTTTGTTATAGAAGCTATCCCAGGTTCAAATTCATTGTAATAAACAAGATAAGTCACATTATTTTCACACACTAGCACTTGTGATTGCTTATTAATACCCTTACTATTTCCCTATATACCTAAGATATCTACATAACATGGATATTCCTAACACTTCTAAACTTCTCATAAATAATGTATATATTCAGTCACTTTAAATGATAAAAAAAATGAGAACTAAAAGGGGCATTTCTTACCAGAACCTCTTTTGGTCACAACCTTCAGACTCTGAGTGAATGTAGCATATAAGAGAATCAAATGCGGAATCGGAGCTTTCATCTTCCAGTTTTTAAAGGCTGTTCTTTAAAGGAAAAAGAAAAAGAAACATAATTTAAAAGATTTGGTAGTACATTATAAGAATTTTGTATACATCTATTTCTGGAATCATGCTATATATCCTTGGCTGACCTTAAACTCATGACTCTCTCCAGCTTTAGTCACCTTAGTGGTGGGGTTTCAGGTATGAACTAATGTGCCTGGCTCTTGTGAAGCTTTGTCTCATGGATATTTGAGGCAATAAGGAAAGAATATCACAAAGAGTATCTATATTATAGTTTCGAATAAATTATACTTCGTAAGTTAAATCAAAGTCAGTAATGGTCAAAGTATATTTCCATAAGCTTCTCAGAATGATTTCAGATCATATATTCAATTAGGGTTCAGAATTTCTCCCAATGCAGAGACCCAACTTTTCTTTAAATCGTGAAAACAATGTCTTGATTTTGCTTACAATTTATTTTAATACACATTACTGAAATCAATATTTTACAATATCCATTTCTGGAACACAGTGTGATTTTTCTTTAGAAACAAAATTGTATCAATTGTGTGTCTCTGATGACCTGTGATACTGCAACCATCTTTCAAAAACATTGAAAACCAAATTTCAGAAAAAATTTAAGACACTTGTCTATGTTGACTGATAGAAGATACTGTCGAAAACATCTACGAAAACTTATGTCATCATCTACTATAAATGTCTGCTTAGGTCACTAAGAAGAACACTGTAATACTGTTTCCATTTCCAAAAGGAAAAATATTTTCTTTAAAATAAACAACTATACATTCTTTCCCTAAAATATCATCAATTTTCAAATTTTACAAATAGAAAATTGGCAGATTGCATTCATTTAAGGGGTACAATGTGGTATTTTGATATGCATGCACATTACAAAATGGTTATCACCATCAAATAAGCTAACATATCTATCACATGACATAGTTGCCTTTTATCACTGAGGTATCAAAATCTGTAAAATGTACTGTCAAGTATATAGCACAGTATTAAGTGTATATCAGATGCCTAGAATTTTATCCATGTACAGGGGCAATTTTGTGCTCTTGGATCAGCATCTGTTCATTCCCCTTAGAAGTCTTTAGAACATACCAATCTACTGTTTCTTTTCTTTTTTATTATAACATGAAAATAGAAGAGCTGAGTACTGCAAGACTGAATTTGGAACGTAGCAAGTCAGAAAACAGTTCAGATATATTATAGGCCCCTGACAGTGCAAGATTCTTTGCAAGACATTTGAAGACTGCTCTAGCCAGTTGTCTATCACTATGAGTTTGCTGAATATGAGAAAGCTGAAATTGCAGTTTGACAACCACAGTTTTCATCTCTCACATCTTCAAATATCTGAAGATTTTAAATAATTAATTCAATCACAAGAATAAAAGTTCATTAAAATGCATTAGCCTTTAGAAATCAAAATCCATTCACTTGATTCATCATAATAATATAGTCTCAAAATCAGAAAAAAAATTAAAATAACCAAAAGGATAAGCTGTTTTCACTCTAGCACATGTTTACATGATAATGGCAATTTTTAAAGCAAGGACCCAGATTTCACATAAAGATATAAATGCAGCTCTTCCAAATAATCAATTCATCAGGAATGTCAAAGTCAATGCCTTATTACATTGCAAGACTAGCTAGAACTCAAATCCCATTTTCCAGCCACCACACTGACTAGAGCTGAAGGAAATCTTCAAGATGGTATCTTCAGCCTTCTAGTTAGCAGCAAGAAGCAGTTCTTTTCTCAGTGTGAGTTTAATCTGTGCTGCCCAAGAAACTCCGAGATCCAAGTATAAACTGCAAGCCCTTACAGTTTAACTATCATGTTACTTTACTCTTGTTCAAAATACTGTTTTCTTATCCATTTCATTTATGTGAGATACATAGACTAGTTTGCAATTCTATTTCTTAAATTCAAATTGGTTTAGAAAGCATCAGTGTTGTAACATCAAGATCCTTAATTAAATCTCTTTATATTATATATGAGCAAAAAATATTTAAATGTATTTCATAGGCTTAATGTCTTGGACAATCTATAATAATCTTAACAAATGTCATTCAGAAATTTTATTGTATCTTAAACTGAAAACATAGATTAAATATGACCAACCATAGATATCTGTGACTTGCTGTGCTGTCAGCAAAATTAAAATTCTTATCCAGAAATATCAATGAAAATATACCTAATAGCTTCCTTTATCAGAAGGAAATAAGTTCCAAGACATCCATTTAATGCTTAAAAGCATAAATAGTACAAACCTATATATTCTTTGTTTTCCTGCTATATATACTCACAGTTGATTTCAACTCATCAATTAGATATAATAAGAGGTTGAAAAAATCATAAAATATGCTATAACATGCTTTATATCATCTCTAGCTCATTACTTTAACTGTATTCACACCTGTTGTGATGATAGAATGATACATTTTAAATGATGAGATAAAGTAAGTTGAATGGTACAAACAGTGAGGCATGGAATTGGGCTACCACATAAGGTTTTCTTGCTTCTAAGCACTGTGATTCCACCACAGTGTATCTAATGGCAACGATAAGCATAACATGACTAAAAGGTAAGCAGTATAAAACATGACTACAAGGAATAGAGGGATTATTCAAAATTCAGGAGAGGCAGAACACGACAACATGAGATTTCATCAACCTCTCTGAAGAGCATGTAATATGGAACTTGTAAATTATTGATTTATGAAATTTTATAGTTTATAGTTTAGGATATTGGGTATTGTAAGTACAAAAACTGAAATGAAAAATGGTGTTATTATGAACATTTACTGAAATTCTTATTTTTTCTCAATGTTACACTGAAGATGATATTTTGAGTGTTCCAGTTTCCTTTCTGTTACTATGATAAAAAAGAAGCAATGAGAAAATAAAATGGTTTAACTTTGCTTATACATCCAAGTCACAATCTTTCATTGAGGGAAGACAAAGTAGGAACTAAAGGCAGAAACATAAAAGCAGATGTCATAGAGGAATGCTGCTCACGACTCACTCAAAAGTACATGTTTAGAGGATCTCCTGACTAAAGAATGGTACTGGGTGGTTTGTTGTATCTCTTTAAACCAATTTCTAATAAAGCCAGTCCCTCATATATATGCTGACATACTCACTTTATATAGGTAATTTCATAATTATGGTTTCCTCTTTCAGGTGACACTGGGAAATGTTAAATTAATAACCAAGGCTAACCAGAACACCCTACTCCTTGTCAATATGACTCACAAACATGTGACTATTAACCCTTTATACGAAGAACTCATGTAAGTATAATATTAAACACACTCCATGTCTGGATGTCACACACTCTTTGCAGTGTCAGTTGGGAGGCTTGTGCAGTCCTTGGAGCCACTGGCAGTGGAACCAGTATTTATCCCTAACGCATGAATGTGTCTTTTGGAGCCCATTCCTTTTGGAGGGATATTCTCTCTGCCCAGATTCCCAGAGGAGGGCCTAGGCCCTCCCCCAAAAGATGTGACGAACTTTGACAATCCCCCATAGGAGACCTCACCCTCGCTGAGGAGTAGATGGGGGTGGGATGAAGTTTTGGTGGGGGAATGGGAGGATGGGAGGGAGAGGGAACTGGGATTGTTATGTTAAATAAGATTATTTTCAATTTAAATAAAAGATTAATTAAAATTTGCCAATGCTTTAAAAGTTCAATGACTTTAAAGGTTTAAAACCTCCCATTTGTAGGGGTCCTATAAAAAAACAAAAAAAAACAAACAAGTTATATATACTTTCTTATACCAAAAGGGAAGAACTGAAACACATAGTAATCACCCTTAAGCAAAGCAAAGAAGTTCAGCAATTTAGCTAAATGTCTGTCCTCAGGGACTCACTAACGATCTTATGGGCTCCAAAGCATTTGAGAAGCCAGACTGTTCATCTCTGCCTTCCACAGCACACTCCACATGTCTTATATTGGCTCATACTGACTCTCCTCCTTATCTATTGGTGGTAGGCATTTCATGTTCCTGGCATCTCCAAGATTCTGATATGTTTACTACAACGGAGGCCTCACCTTTAGTAGTGGCATCTCTGCAGGGACTTCAACATTGCCATACGATGCCAAGCCTCACTTTCTTTTCTTGACCCCTAAAATCCTGCAATTCTCATGCCTTCAAAAACCAATATTACATGAGTGTGAATATCTTTGGTATTGCCAAGCTCAGCTCCCAACTTCAAATGTGTATACAGATTCTTTGGACTACAGCCTCTCAGTGCCTAATCTGTTGAAACACATTCCTATTCATAGAAAATTTCACCTCAAGGATGCTGATCAATTATTAATCAGAGCTGATTCTTTAGCCCCAGCATGATAAGCTCACTCAAATTCTTAGTTAAAATATCACATAAATAGCCCCCAGACCAGTTTGCAATTAAGTCCTTATTCCCTTCAGAAAGCTCACCAGCCAGGCCTCCACAGGCCACATTATCTTCCAAGATCTTACAACAGCTCATTCATCTCTGAGCACTCGATATCTTTCACAGCCCAAAGCTCAAAAATCTTACATAATCCTGTAATAAAATATTCCAAAGCATAAAAAGCTACACAGCTAGGTTCATCATAACAACACCCACATTCCTGGTACAATTTTATGCTCTATTTCCTTTCTGTTGCTGTGATAAAATACCCTTAGCAATTTAGGGGAGAGGAAGCAATGGAGTTTGTTGGTTTCCACATCACAATCCATCACAGAGGGAAGATGAACTCAAAGTAGGAACCCTGAGGGTGGAACATTGGTGGAATAGTACTTGCTAGCTCATTCTCTGGTATACTAGAAGGTTCGTACTTAGATACCATTTAAAATACATTGCAGGAATAGTTGTCTGAGCATGGGTTCATCCAGCTTTTCTCAATTAATAATCAACATAATCCATTACGAACATGTCCCCAGGTAAACTTGACCTATCCAAACGCTCAATGAAGGTTTCTCCTCTTAGATAGCATTTTTCTGTGCCACACTGACAATTAACATTT